AACTGAATCTCTAAACCAGTTCTTTTTAGTTATAAAAATCCTTTCCACACACCCTCTGCACTCCCTAGCATTTTCTCTATAAAGTCAACCAACCCGTTCGGCAACACTCGAACATTCTTGACTGTCGCATGTCCACAATCATCAACTACTTATATATTAGTATACGGCATTTTCAGCCCCATTCACTAGCAGTAAACCAGCAGGCGGTCGTCTACACAACATAGCAGTGAGTTTTTGGGGTCGTTGTTGCAGTGTGCGTCGTCATAACGTCACGAAAATACGCGCGCTCATGCATACATTTACAAATACATAGACACTACACTTGTACATTCACACAAAAGCACAGAACAAAATAAATACAAAATACTACCAATACTACCCAAGTATAAACTCGACAAAAGCTTGTTTGAAAAGTAGCCTGTTTGGGAAGGGTATGTCGCTCGGTCGGTAGGTCGCTCGCTTGGTTGGTTTGGGAGGCTTACGAGGCAAATGGAATTCATTACCACGACTACAATAACAGCAGCAACAACACAAGTGACGTATGCATACACGTTTTATGCTAACTGGTTGAGTGTTGTTGCCTTTTTTGTTTTGTTTGTCTGAATGGGAACGACTTGCATTTAGTTATATTTACTAAATATGTACTTATATAGGTATATAGTATATGTATGTTGTTAGTATATACATATTTGTACATAGCTATTTGTATATGTATTTTATATATACTATTTTACTAATTTCAAAGCAGTACGAGTTTTTTACACACACTTGGTTGAAGGAATTTTTTTTTTGTGGTCTAAAAACCGGCTGCCAGCCGAGAGGCTGACTGTCGTCACTCGTAGTAGCTGAAATTTTTCCTAGCACGCAACTATTCATGTATTGGCACACAATAAACGCAAAGACTTGAGTAGTCATGGGACTAAGTACAGCGGTTTTACGGCGGGAATTTTATACCCATAGGTATGGGTTTTCTTCTTCTTCTCATTTAGCCCTGTAACCGCCTAAGGGATTTTGGCCGAGTTCAACAAAGCATGCCAGTCCTTCCCTTCTGTGCCAATTGACGCCAATTGGAAATGCCAAATGAAGCCAAGTCCTTCTCCACTTGGTCTTTCCATCGCAGTGGGGACCTTCTCCTTCCTCTGCTATCACGAGCAGGTTAGGGTGTCCATTCGAACCACATGGCCAAGCCAGCAGAGCTGCGGTATTTTAACTCGCCGTTGCCAATGCGTAAAGGCCCGTAAATATTTCGCAAAATCTTTCTCTCGAATAATTCAAGAGCCGCCTCATCCGATGTTGTCATTGTCTATGCTTCTGTGCTATAAACCAGCACGGTTGGCGTGGATTGCGTGCTTTCTTGTGGATTGGCAGACAAGTTTAATTTAAAGAGGGTTTATCTAGAAATATAGAAGGTGTAATTCGCACTGTGAAACACCTAATAAGTTCAGATTCCGGTTTGTACGGTAAGCACACCTACATATAATCAGTTGCCTAAACTGATGTTGCATTTACATGAGGCGATTTTCTAGGCGATTCAACATTGTTCAAAAAAANGGAATATATATGTATAATGCTGCATTTACATGAGGCGATTTTCTAGGCGATTCAACATTGTTCAAAAAAATCGCTCGTGTAAATGCTGATTCAAAGATCAACTCCCTCAAAGTAGACAGCAAGTCAACTTTTGCAGGCAATTATCGCCTGTCAAAAAATCGCCTTATGTAAAGGCCGCTTAATGCTAAACCAAATGGCTTGCTTATGAATATGTAGAGAAACTGGGTTCTCTCTTAGCTGAGGACATTAATAATTAATAGCTCAGTTATGCATACTTTACACTGCACTGCATTGCACATCACTTTTACGTAGAAATCAAAAACCAACAGATTTCTACATATGTAATGCTGTTCTTTGGGTAACCGCTTGCACATAAAGCTCATTTAACAGATTCCTTATGTGACAACTATCATGCAAAGCCAAGTTTGCATAACTGAGCCATAAGCCATTACCAAAGTAACTAGCAGAGCAATTGCTCTCCCTAAACTACATATGCACATATCTAATCTATTCGAAATCATAAACAGGCACAGTATATACATTTGGGCGGTATTAAGTTGACTTCTAATAACAGTATCCAATTGTGTATTTAAACATTTTGAATATTAACTGTTTTTATATGTCCCCAAAAATCTTAAAAATGCAATCGGGGACCCATATCAAAAATCATAAGAATAAAAAATCGTGAAATAATCAATTTGGTATTATTATTGGAATTTTTTCAATCGAAAAATATTGCTTTTCAAGAATTCTATATCATTTATACGCAAAAGTGTTTTCCCCATACAAGATATGTACATAGAAAACTTCATGGGCTTTGAGGCAGTTCTAAATAAATATTTTCTTATACATAAAAATATCGATAATCTTTCCATTTAGAAAAATCCTAGAGGGTGAGAGCTTAATATCTTAAACTTTTTTTTTTTTGACCACCCCAATGTACATCCGTCGACAAGTCATTCCATATCTGTTGGCTATTTTTGTTCGCCCTGAGTTTGTTTACTTACGTATATACATATGTATGTACACTGTTTTAAGTTCCTTTTTTCTTCAATTTAATACAATGTAGTTATGTTTATAATTGTACAAGTTTGTTTAGAAACGGTCAGCGCATACACACAACCAAGAAATAAATTCTTGTTGAAATTAACATGAAAAGCGAAATGTTTTGTAAACCAAAGTTCTCTACAACCGATTCTAAAGTTCCCCCATTGCTTTTCAGCGGCGCTTTTTCTTCTCGTATAAATTCGTGTGTTTTGCCTATAAAAAGCGTGTTTCTTTTATATCTGCTATATGTACATGAGCTATTTTTGTAACTCATTGAGCACGAAACTGAAATTGAAGTCAATTATTCTTCCCTTTCTGGGCGATGTTTATGCGCATAAAAATAAATACAGCTTTGGATACGTATGCGTTGACGTTTTTACGCAGTCATGTTTAAAAGAATCCACCACAATTTCATACTCATTCACACACAAATACTACTGTACATACATAAGTATATGCATAAGTTACTTAGAAGATGTATCTAGGAATGTAAGGGTCTATAAATGTTTCGGCTTGTTCGTAAAAAAAAAAATATAGAAAGAGTGCAGAAAAAATCCATCAGCTTCAGATTTTTCCTGTAGGGGATTAAGCTATTTTTAAATAATTTAATTCAGAAACCCCTCTAAGAATCTATGCGAAGAACTCCATTTCGCTTTAAAAATTAAGTGTACAATTTTATTCTAAATCAAAACAGATTGTTGGCGGATGTTGTGATGCACCTCAAAGCTTGTGACACAATATGGCTGGCGCTTATTTTTATAAATTTTATAAATATTTAGTTGCAACATGGCGCACAAAATTTTTATTGTAAATAAAAGTATGTACATATGTTAACTGAAACCTCTAACAGCCCAGTGAAAAATGTATGGATCAATACCAAAATCGAGCAATTGCTTGCAAAAGATCTTTGGATGATCCTATTTTTTACTGGGAAGTGTATGTAGTTGAAAGTGTGTAAGTTGTAAATTTTGTGTTCCTGTCTATTGATTTTTTTGCATGTTGTATATGTATGTTTGTGTGAATGTATAGCATGTAGGAGCCGCGCTGGTACGACCTGAATAGAAAAAGTTTTCGGTTGATTCAATAAGCTAACCTCAGGTTATTTTTGATTAGAACAAAATGATTTGTTATTTACCAACGTTTAAATTGTACCCGAGAGACGCTTTTTTTAACACATCTCTTAAATTTGCTTTTTATTTCATAGCCTTTTCTTCAATGTGCTTCTTTTCGCATTTTAATATTTTATTTCATTGATTGTATTAAATTAAATTTATTAATATATTTTCTATTTTGGTTTTGTTTTTATTTTTAATTATTATTTTTTCATTTTCGCCGCACACTCTAACTAACGCTTCATACATATGTACACACGCCGCAATATGTATCAACCACATATGTTTCTTTTAGAAAAAATATATTTTAATTCTTTAATGCCGGTAGTGTGTGTATGTTTGTGCAAGCTAGTTAATTGTGTGTGGGCAAAATTTGAAAAAAAAAACATTTCTAAACCTAAATAAATACTAGAGCTACGTCAAGCATTTGTGTCTGATTCGATTCGAATTTTATAGTTTATGTGCCGCCCATGCCACATCCTGTTGTGCCGTTAGGCAACTCGACGTCACCAGCTTTGTCGTCATCACAACAACAACATCCACAACATGTAGCACTACAACAACAACAACAACAACATCAACAACTGCCACCTCAATCTCTAGCACAACACCAGTCAATAGCACCACCACCTATGCCACAATTACCAACAACCGCCTGTTCAGTCAATCAATTAGCACAAAGTCCGATGGCTAATCTCATGTCTATTACAGAGACATTACCACCGGGTAGTCCACGGAATGGACCCAGCCCACCGGGACCACCACCGCCGCGCACTGCATCACGCGGTAGCCAACATTCACCGAATAGTTCGGGTGAGTAGTGTCCCAGTGCTAAACGAAAACTATAAACAAACAAATGAAAATCAAACACTATTGGACTAAGTATGTAGTTGATAAAGAAACATGTTTGTACGATAAGCAACTCTTTTCAGCAGCATACTGACATAGCGTAGTAAAAAAATAGTTTGTTTAACTGGCAGTACAGCTTGCCAACTACATACCTATTTGTATATAGTAGATAATGCGAGCAAACATTTTTCCATTCATTATGCTAGTATTCTGCTTTCTTGCCCATCTAACTAGAACAGTTAGCTCTCCGATTCATTTTCCATGATTCATCTGCACTCATATATACACGTACGCATTAGCTTCATTGCACACACAGACACATAGTCACCTACTTACATATATTAATACCTATTCGTCCTTACTTTCATTCACTACTATTACCTCTATGACTTGCACGTTCACTCATCGTAATTTTTTTTCTTTTTAATTCTTTCATTCTAGCCGGTTCATCGTCCGGACGGCGTTCTTCTGGATCGCGTCACGTTTCGAGCACTACAGTCACCAGCTCAGAAGTGCAGTCAAGTCCAGCGAATACACAACAAGTTGGTCCGGGTAGTGGCGGCAATGTTGGTGGAGGCGGCGGCGGCAATGGCAGCAGCACAGGTGGAGTTAGTGTGAGTAGCGGTGGTGGCGGCAATGTTGGGGGAAATAATGGTCCACTACCACCTGGCGGCAATGGCGCCGATGCAAGCAACAACGGCGGCGGTCCGAGCGGAAATAACAGCAATGGTCAAGCACCGAGCGGCATGAATTCAGCAAACGCAGCAGCAGTTGGTGGTACGTCAGCGTCGAATGCGGCAGCAGCTGCACAAAATGCCACACTAAAGTGCACGTTGTGCCAGGAACGGCTGGAAGATACACACTTTGTGCAGTGTCCGTCGGTTAATCATCATAAATTCTGTTTTCCTTGCAGTAGAGAGAGCATCAAGCGGCAAAATGTAAGTATAGGGTTTTACTTGAAATATAGGTACATTGATTTTATTCATTTCCAAACCATTTCCAGGGTCTCGGCAACGAGGTATACTGTCCCAGTGGAGACCGCTGCCCATTAGCAAATTCGACAATTCCGTGGGCCTTTATGCAAGGCGAAATTACCACCATACTGGGTGAGGAGGTAAAGGTGAAGAAGGAGCGTGAATCTTAATGTCCATTTTATTGTAAAAAGCTGCGACGGGCTTTGGAGAATTTTTAAACAAAAAAATTAACTGGAAGAAAAAAGGTTTTTTGAGTCAAAACTAGTTGTATTGAAATTTTATGAACAGTTGAAAACTCACAAAGTAAAGCTTGAGAATGAAGCAAAAGTACAGAAATAAGCATAAGTAGAAGTTTAATAGTTGCGCAGCAGTTTTTCGAGACGGTCAAATAAAGGTCGAAAGAACAATCCCAGTTAGAGCAGCCATAATTATGGTCAGTAAAATAATACATACGGATTCAAAAGCGCCAGTAGAATGAATTTAACGATAAGAAATGCTTGGCTAAGAGTTTTTAGCAAAATTTTTGGTGAAGAGAAAAAAATAAGTCGAGTGGATGTGTAATTTAACAGTTTGATGAATGGAAACGCTTCAAACTGGCTTTAAATTGGAAACTTTTAACTGGCTGCTTAGCATTTTGGACGCAACCACATCTGTGTGGTGATGAAAAAGTTGTGAGGGAACTGTTTATGCGGCGGGGCATAGGTACAGTTCGAGCCACTTTGAGAGCCCTGCTTTTGTGCTGGCCCTGCAGCAGGCAGGAGCGTAGGTTTTGAACTTTCTTGGTAGTTGCTGTGATGCAACAATATTAAAAAATATATAAAAACAATATAAACAAAAAAAAATATTGCAAATTTTCGTGTTAAACAAGGGCAATCTAAACAAGCTAAAAATTTGGCAAAATTAACGAAAGCAGTTTAAGAAGAAACAGGTTGACATTTTTGTGTGCTCACTAGAGCCGAAATCCCAGTGCAACACCAGGACACTTAAAAAAAAAAACTAAAAAAAAAAAAATTTAATGAAGTTTGTGCTTATTAGAGTTCTGTTTTAATTTATTATTTCCGTAGTAAAATTGAAATTGTTAAGTTTTTCGAAATTCACGATTTAAATTTTTCAGGCGCTCGAATCAGTTCTTTTGCAAAACGAAAACGCTGCTAGGTTTTGAAAACATCTTTCAAGTATATAGTTAATTGGAGTAATGTTTTAAAAATGTCTTTAAAAGCTTTTTAAATGAAAAGTTAATCTAACTTACCCGATTAAAAGGATAAATAAAAAATTCTATTTAAAAAAAATAAGTTAAGTATTAAGTGTAAATATGCCTAATTTGTAAGATAACAAAAACTTTTCCTTAAAAGTTGTATTTGTAGTAACTACAAACCAATGCAATTATATTTGACTTTTTATGTGTTTTAGTTGTAGCGTGCTTATTACAATGACAAAAAACACATTTATGATTTATGCTTACAAGAAAAATAATAATTTAAATATTAGTTGTAAATTAATATTAGCTTGAGTTATAACTTAGTTTGAAACTATACAAACAAAAAATATAAGAAATATTTTTAGCAATTATATTTGCCAGCTATTTCGGCATTTATGTTACGCATTGTTGTATTTGTAATTGTAATTTGTATGTAGTCATTTAAATATGTGTAGTTTGGCATCAAAAAAACAAAAATAAATGAAAAAAATAAATAAAACATAAAAAAAAATTACAAAAAATTACTAACGTTTGGCGAGACCAACAAAATGTTAGCAGTGATTGTTGTCGAACGTTTACAACATCATAACAGATTTGTCGTCTTGCATGCATTTCACCGCATGTACGCATACAAAAAAAAATACAAAAATAAACAAATTTGAATTGCAACCGTGAGTGATTTCNGTCATAACAGATTTGTCGTCTTGCATGCATTTCACCGCATGTACGCATACAAAAAAAATTACAAAAATAAACAAATTTGAATTGCAACCGTGAGTGATTTCTTTGCGTTTAAAACACAGTTTGCAAAATTTAATGCGAATTCCAATTCTAAAATTTTAAATAAATTCATTTCAACAACACGATTACAACAACATATAAAAGGAAACTAATTTGTAAATTTTCAACGCCAGCCAAGTTTTGGCGTGCAAAAATATCGTAGTTTGTAGTGAATGTAAGCAGTACATAATTATTTGAAAATATATATGATTGCAAAAACAGCAACAACTAAACAATCCTAACTTGATATACATACATACATACATAAATAAATATATAACACACACTAGATTTACAAATATGCATTATAATTAAATACATAAATGTATAACATAAATTCAATAAACAGCGGAAAAATTGCATAAAATTTAAATAAATACAATTTGTAAACTTACCATGTAAGAATATAAAATATTTCAACGTGAATAATAAAATATTGGAAAACATTTCAAATAATTTAGTGGATATGTGAAGAAAGTGTATTTGTGGATTATGTAGATGGGAAAGTCAGCAGGTGAGATTATAATAAGGTGTCGCTCCAATTTTTCGTATAAAAAAAATTATATGTTCTATGTTATATTTTGTATGAAGAAAATGAGCGACACCTTCAACAGAAAAATTTTCCAATAATCAATGGTGAATCCTAGCTACCTCAGACCTGCACTTTGATATACTGTGCTAAAAAACTGCGTACCCAACTTTTTTCTAAAGAGTGTGAATAAAAAGTGCAATATTTTAATGAAAATTCGCAATAGTTTCTTTAACTAGGCACAAAGTTTGGATCTCAAATTTTTGGGTTTTTTGTTGTAGAATTAACAATATTTTTATAAAAAATATCGAAAAACAAAATATCTGAAAAATAGTTGCCAGTATTGCGAAAAATTCGGTGTACGTATACTTTATTGACTGACTGTATGTTCCCAATTTTTGCAGTGCTAAACATTTAAAACTAAGGCCCCTATTATGAGTTGCGTTCGATTTTCGACTGTGGTCGAAAGTGCTGAGCGAACGAATTTTCATTTGGTATTATGGCGTTCATTCGATGAAGAATAGCGCTATTGTGAATTTCGCTCGTTTAGGTTGTTCACAATAGTATATTTTTCACCGCTGAGAAGCTTTGTTTACAAATCGAGCAAACTAAATAGTGTGCTTATACATATTTATGTAAATTTGTTCTAATTAAAATGAAGTAAAAAAGAAAGCAAGTTTATAAAAACGTGGTAAAATGAGTACAACGAGTTCTGGTTCAACGATTCGTCAGAGGATGAGAGCTTAGTAAACTGGCCAGGAGTAGCAAATGTTTAAGAGAGTTTAAGTTTATTAGTCTTTCGAATATATTTTGATATAAAATATATTTAAGAAATTTGTCTACAGATTCATTAAAAAGTTCCGACCATCTAAAGAGGCGTTTGTGAGCCAAATCTATTTAAAATATTTTAAAACTATCAACAGCGCTACGATTTTGTTCTCAGAGATCGTGCCAACAGAGTATTGGGATTTTCTTTCACAAGTAAAACCAGCCTTTCGAGCTTGTGTTTAGTATTCACGATGTTAGAACTGCATGAAATTAATAAAAATTGTTTAAAATTAGTGTCTAGCCGCCAAAATGTAAGAAAACATATACAAAATCATACATTTTTCACAATTTTCTAACACTTCGCTACACCATCGAAAGCAAAATTCTGTTCGACAGAAAATTCGATACTCAACGAAAATTTCGACACGCTTGCATAGCTCATAATACGAATTTCACTTTCGATCTTCGATCTTCGATAGCCAGCGAAGATCGAAAATCGAATACAGCTCATAATAAGGGCCTAAGCAATAAAAATAAAAACCCCAACTAATAGCTTTGCAGAAATTAATTTACATACCTCACCGTGATCTGTCATTCTCTTTACTACTACTTTAATGCACTTGCTGGCACGCTATTTTTTTCTTTTAATTGTTAACCTATTTACTTTTAGATGCGATAAAAATTGTTTGTTTTTACTGAACTGATTTATTTCGCCATAAATAAATTTAAGTTATACACTGGACAAATATGATATGTCATTTTATTATTTTCATTTTGATTTCGAAAATTTTGTGGTTATTTTCGGGGCCACCACATAGCAAAAAACATTTTGAATGAGTTTTGTTTGTTGTGTTTCCGTTGAATTTTATAAATGTATGCCCAAACTATGAAATTATAAAAATGAATTACGCAATGAAATTGCACTCAAAATTGTAACTCCTGTTGGGCAAAATGTCCAACTGGATTACGAATCGAGTTGAACCAACAGTCGCAACGTTTACAGCCTGCATAATGGTTAGGCTGCCGTTTTGCGAGCTTTGATTTTAGATGGCCGTAGAGGCGTTTTGATTATTTCGCGGAAGTAGGATTTAGCTTTTGAGTTTTCGCACACTTTAAACACCTAATTTTTTCCAAATACCCTTTTAAAGAAGCGGAAACTAAATTCTTGAACACTTAACTCACTTCCGATCAAAACCGATTACTGCTGGCAGTAGTGGTGCCAGATAAATTTACATGCCAATGCTAATTAAAAGGGGCATACACACTACTCAAATGCTTTAGGTACATAGATGATGCAGCGAGGATAGTCTACTTTTGCTTTGACTGTGAAAGTACGTTTACATATGAAACATAAGTTCCATTCAATAACTTGTCTAGTAATTATTTGCAGCGAGAGCTTAAAAGGACATAGAGAGTAAAATTGAGAGGAAGAGAAAATTACCTGAAAAAGTTATTGAACGCCAAACTTGTAAAAGCTTGCAACTGACGTCATTTTGACGGTTTCTAACAGTTAAATTTGTGCGCGCAATTTTCTTTTTGATTGGGAATATTTCCCATCGTCATAAAAATAAAAAAAAACATACATTGGATTTAAATTGTTCATCCATATTTTCATTTGACATATTATGTTTCATAATATCATCCTCTTGCAACACTTTGTTTACATTTAAATTTGAAACATAACCTTACTTTTTGACTCCTACACATTCCTGCTACTAAAATTTTTACTTGAAAAATTTGCAGCTCTCTCGGATTGTTACGCTTTTGAATTCGCTCTCTCTTGCAAATTTTTTGGGTTATTGAATGGATTTCCAGTAAAAACTTGCAAGTACTAAAAACAATTCGTAACAATTTTTTGATATTGAATCAAAGCTCGTTTGTGACACCCCGTTTATACACTAATATTTCGAATTATTAGCTGGCTAATTTGTTGAGCTAATTTTTCTCACAACAATTTTAGTTGCTTTAAATTGTGAAAATATATGATTTGTAATAAAAATTAATAAAGTAAATGTTAAAAAAAAACGGTGAGTTTAGTGAAAGTATAGTGAATTTCAGTGCATTTAAAGTTTTTGAGGCGTTGTTTACGAACATCGAGAGCTGTAAAAACCGTAAAACCAAAGTAGCGGTTTGCGGAACGCGTCACCTTCTGTTCGCTACATCGTGAACTGTAAGGCCAATGCCAGATAAAATGATTGCTTCGCTTTGCGTGACGACAGATTTTGTATTTTTATTGGCGTTCATTGTGGCATACCTTTTGCGTCTGGCGCTTTGCTGGCAAAGTTATAAATGTCACGCAAAGCCACAAAGTTTTATTTGGCATCAGCTTAAGAAATCAAACATTTTTATTGACCAGTCAACATGTGTGTCGAGCGGTTGTTCCAGCGTTTACCGGATCGAACATCACTGTATGTTGGATCATTTAAACCTCTCTAAACTTAAACTAATATAATTTTATTTGCTGCGGCGTTGCGTTGATCCGTTGGTGCGTTGACGACGCTGAAAAATTTGCTGTTACACACCTTGCGTCGTGCCGCTCATTGTTTTGTAAACAAAAAAGAACAGCTGATAAGCATATTCACAAATGTAATTTCAAATGCCAAAGCATGAACGCAAAAGAAAAGTAGCGAGTTGGTTTACTTTCGACGGCAACTGCGTTAACGCATTCCCAACGGCGTCGTCTGTAACAGTTGTCATACAAACGCATGTGTTCAATTTTATTTGACATTGACGGCGTGACGCATTTGCCGGTGAACGCATGTTGTGTACCTTCGCTTTTAGCAAAAGCAATTGATAAAACTGCCTGCACTGAACAACACTGAAAAGTTACCGGTTTAAAAATTAGGAAGACGGCAATTCTTCGTAACTCGTATAGTAATTGGATCTAAATTATCTACACATGGGGAGATTCGTTCCCAAAATTGTGTATCTCGAATTACCTAATTCGAAGGGTAATTGGATTGCGAATTAAGAATTAGAGGCCGTGCCGCGTGATTGGGAAGTTGCGGGAAAGCCGTATAAAGAGCGAAATACACCACACAATCGGTTTGTCAAATATACTTCAAACCCACTTTTCCCGCTTGGCTATAAACCATGCAAACATGACTCGTTCAAGTAAAGAGTTTTATTTTTCTTCTGGTTCACAATGTAAAAAATCTTGGTCTCTTGCATTTTTCTTTCTTACGTCCCCTCTATGTGAAAATTCTATTGGAAATAAGACGATTTTATTATACACAATGCAAGCGGTTTGATCAAACGTCTACATGGCGGCCAGAAAGAAAATTTTGATTTTTGCTCAAGTTTCCCTCAAGCGGCTTGTCAAACTTTTAAGCACCCCCAGACACAACACAAATGGCTTGAAGCAAAGGAATATTGCCCTTGATTTGCCAAGCCGCTTGTGTGGTGCATTTCGTTCTTTAAGGCCTGTATGCAGCTCTCAAGAAAAGCAAACACTCCATATAAAATGACGTACAAGAAATGGCTAAGAAATTTTCTTGAGCCAAATTTCCTTAAGGCAGTACACAGTTCTTAAGAAATTTACTACGCTTTCTACTACGGTTTTCT